CCCGTTTGTTCTTGTCAGGAAGCTCGATACAGTCCTTAAGGAGTGTTGCTCCTCTCTGGTGCTTCAAACTCACCCGTGGCTCTGAGGAAAAAAGATGAGAGATCTCCTCCTGTGTGGTAGCCAGCCTCTGAAATCCAGTGGGACTTCTGAGCTGCTGCTGCCCTGATGGCAATGAGAGAAAGCTTGTCCACTTGATGGGCGCTGGGGTGCTACATACAGTTCCCAGGGGGCGTGATGTTCCTCTTGTCCCTTCTTGTCAGATCAGCTTGTGATGCCTCCTTTCCCTGCTACACCAGAAGGTCCCCCAGGGCATGTGTGCTGTCGGACCCTGAGGCCCCTCGGAAGGCCTGGACATCCCTTGTTACTGTCCGTTGCCATCAATGCTGCATCTGATGACCCAGGCACAATGGAACAAAACAGGGCGCATGAGGTGCACCAGCTGGGAATCGAACCATGGTCTCCTGCGTGGAAGGTGGTAATCCTACCACTGAGCCAGTGCTGCTTCCACACCCAGACACCTTATACTTCAATAAACAACCAGGTGGATGACAGGGAAGGCGGAGAGAGAGGGAGAGAGGAGAGAACACCTCAGCAGGGAGCCCTGGTGGCTCAGTGGCTAAGTGCTTGAAAGAAAACCAAAGGTCAGCAGTTTGAGCTCCCTGGCCTGCCTCTCCGCAGGAGGGAAATGATGCAGTGGGCCTCTGAAGCTGGCAGCCTCAGAAGCCCTGTGGGGAGGGTCTGCTCTGTCCACAAGTCCTAGAATCACTGCCTGTGCTTGCCGAAGCATCAAACTTGCTGATTATATGACCTTAGACAAGTAATACTCATTATCTGTGCCTCAGTTTCCTCAGATGTAAAGGGTTGTTCTTGTTGCTGATGTCACGTTGACCTTGGACTCGTGGTATCCCCACACATAACAGAAGAAGTGCTGCCCAGCCCTGTCCCATCCCCATGGTGGGTTGTGACTAGTACCATTGGGCCCATTGGGACCACATTGGCCTGTTTTCACTGGCTGCTTTTTGGCAGTAGATAGCCAGACCTTTCTTCCTAGTCTGTCTTAGCCTGGTAGCTCTGCTGATACCAGTTCACCATAGAGGACCCTGCTGGTATTTGACACGCCAGTGTCTTCACTTCTTTCGTCTCAGCAACATACAAGCCTCCAGGAAGGACAGGGGGCTGCTGCCAGGAACCAAACTGGGGTCTCCAAGGTGGAAGGCAAGAATTCTACCACTGAGCCACCAATGTCATCATTGTATGAGAACGTCAAGATGCTCATACATGATGGTTGTGAAGCGTGAGGACAGATTCATAGAAAACCCTCCGCATGGTGTCAGCCACAGGGGGTGATCCCTAACTTCAGCTGTTATCTTGGTGCAAAAGCCTGAGTTCTTCCTTTGTGTCTCTTCATTTTTATGAGGAAAATGAAGGCGGGAGGTAGTAAAGAGCGATGGGAGAGGTCGAGGCCAGGTCCGAGCCCTCACCTCAAGAACCAGCGTCAAGAGATGCCCCTGTTCTCCTGGCTCACAGCCTCTCTTCTTTCCAACTCTAGAACGTGGATTCTCCTTCACTGCCTCAGGTTCTAGACAAGAAATCCTCACCTGGGAGGCTTTAAAGAAGAGGGGCTCTGTTTACTCACAACCCAGAAGGCTGGCAGTCTGGATGTAGCCTGCAGATGTAGGGGGAGAGCCTTGCTCGCCTCTTTCAGCTTCTTGTGCTGAGTACACTCGCATCTGCTCTTACTCATAATGTCCTCGTGGACAGCAGGAGTCACTGCCCCAGCCCCCCTCGGTCCCAGCAGCTGCTGTGATGTTGCTGACCTTGTAGATGCAAAGGTCTCCTTGTCCCTCTGTGTATGTGGCTCTGTGTCTACTCTGCTCTGTTTGTGACTCAGAAGTGATTAGGTCATAGCCACCCTGTTATGACCTCATTAGCATAACAAGGAAAGTCCTCCTCCCCTGCGTGCACAGGTACTGGGGCCAGAAATTCAATACATGTTGGCAGGGACACAATGCAATCCAAAGTAGCCACGCTGAGCCTCTGGGTACAGATGGGAGAAGCAGTCAGGAGGCATAGACAGGGGCCCTATCTCACAGCCTCAGAGGTTAACAGCAGCGGGAAGCAGTCTGGCAGTCAGGGTCCAGCGTGGAAGACAGAATCAGGACCCCCCATTTGCCTGTACTCCTGACTACCTGTGGGCCTGGCACAGGTGGCCTCCCTCCCTGTCCCCTCTGTCCTCACCTGTGGCAAGGAGGAAACACCCCTGCCTCGACCAATGCCTGACGGTCCTGTTGTTTCAGCTCACTGTCAGGGACTTGTGGTTTGAAGTTTCCCTCATTGGGAATTTGACAGGACTCAGAGCTGAGTTAAGAGCCTGGCCAGCCCTGGGGAAGGCTGGCTGGTTAACTTTGAGGATCTGGAGCTGAAGGAGGAGGCTGACAGCTCAGAAGGGGGACCTCCGCTGCCCCCACCCCCAGAGAGGCAGAGGTCACGTCCATTCCTTCACTCCGTTGTCAGGGTAAGATGATGCGGGATGACAGTTGCTGAAGGCTTTGATGGAGCAGGCTCTGGGTTGGTCCTCAGCCTTTGTCATGCAGTACGGGGGACTGGGAGGAGAAGAAGCTGCTGTTCACCTCAGTAGGCCTGCTGGGACCATTTCCCATGATGCTGTGTGTTCTCTTGTGTCTTCTGTGCCCTGTGAGAGGGAGCCAGGTGTCTTTGCACCCAAGGTGTAGAGGAGGAGGCTGGAGTGAGCTGGGCTTGAGTCCTGGCTTGGCTGCTCACCTGTCTCAGCCTGTTTCCTCACCTGTCTCAGCCTGTTTCCTCATCTCTCAGGGGCAGTGGTGTTTCCTTCCCAGGGTGGTGAGGAGCAGCTGTGGTCACATTGTGATGGACTTGGGAGGCATTAGAAACATCCTAAAATAGAAATAGGTGGTTGTTGTTATGTGCCATTGTATGTGCCTGTGATTCATAGTGACCCTGTGTACAATAGCTCTGAACCCTGCCCTGTCCTGAGTCAGTCTCATTGTCTCTGACACACTTTACCCCATTATCCCAGTCACTGAGTCAATCCATCTCATTCAGGGTCTCTCCTGCACTGTCCTTTCACCCTCCCAAGCATGATGTTCTTCTCCAGGGACTGGTCCCTCCTGGCCACATGCCCAAAGTATGTGAGACAGAGCGTCAAAAGCCTTGCCTCCGAGGAGCAGCCTGACCTCACTCTCATCAGGACTGACCTATGTGTTTCCTTGGCAGTATGTTCAATACTCTTTCCCATCTCCACAACTCAAAGGCACTAATTCTTCTTCTGTCATCGTTGGTAATTGTCCAGCTCTCTGATGCATAGCAAGTAATTGTGAAGACTATTGTCTGAATCAGCCCCACCTTAGTCTCCAGACTGACATTGCTTCTCAGCACTTTGGAAAGGTCCCTGACAGCAGCTTTCCCCAGAGCAATTCATTTTATTTCCTGACTGCTGGTGCCCAGGGTGTTGATTGTGGAGCTGAGCAAGCTGTAATTGTTAACCTCAGTCTCCTCTCCATTTCCTATGGTGCTGCCAATTGGCCCAGTGGTGAGAATCTTTTCATTTGCATGAGCAAGTGGCCCTAATAATGCAGCATAGTATTCCATTGTGTAAATATACCAGAGATTCTCTATCCATTCATTTGTTGATGGGCACTTGGGTTGTTTCCAACTCCTTGCTATTGTGAACAAAGCCATGATAAACATGGGTGTGCATATATCTGCTTGGGTGGCAGTTCTGGTTTCTTTAGGGTATATTCCCAGTAGTGGAATTGTTGGGTCAAATGGTATTTCTATTTGCAACTTTTTGAGAAAGTGGCATACTGCCTTCCATAGTGGTTGCAGCATTTTACGCTCCATCAACAGTGAATAAGAGAAATGGATAGCTTTGAAGATTGTTGTTGTTGTTGTTGTTGTTAGATGCCATCAAGTCAACTGTGACTCCTAGAAACCCTATGAACAGAACACTGTGCCCTCCTCGATGTCTGAGTACGATGTCTGATATGATGTCTGATACGATGTCTGATACGATGTCTGATATGCTCGAGCCCGTTCAAATCATCATGTCATTCTATCGTCCTGAGGGTCTTCCTCTCTTGCTCTGACCCTCTGCTTTTCCAAGCATGATGTCTTTCTCCAAGAACTTAGCCCCTCCTAACAACATGCCCAAATTATGTGAGACGGAGTCTCACCATCCTTGCCTCCAAGGAACACCCCATTTTTACTTTTCTCTAAGACAGACCTGTTTGTTCCATGGGCTGTTCAGCCCTCTTCTCCAGCAGCACAGCTCAAAGAAATTCAGTCTTACATCTCTACAGATTCTGGAGCTCTAGACACTTAATAAGATGTGTTGAAACCATGACTGCAACAATGGCCTTGATCATGGCAGAGACCATGAGCACAATGCAGACTAGGGCAAGGTTCTCCCCAGCTGGTGGATTCAGAACACCTGCTCACCTGGCCTAGTGGATAAGGAGTTTCACTGCCAACCCGAAGGCACAGAGTTCAAATCTGCCAACTGCTCCACAGGAAAAAGATGGGCATTCTCATCCCATGAGATTTACAGGCTCTGAAAACCCACTGGACGGTCGGTTATGAGTTAGCCCTGACCCAATGGCCATCGGTGAGTGGGTGATTGTTAATGAGCGAAGCCCCGGTGGTGCTGGCACTACGTGTTGGACTGCTAACTGGTCAGTGGTCTGTATCCACTGGGTGTTTTGCAAGGAAAACAATGTGGCAGTCTCCTCCTAGGTGGATGTCCCACCTCTGTAACCCGGTGGAGGCTGGTTGTAAGTCAGAACAGGCTCAGTGACAGTGGTAGTGACGGAGAGACACCAAGCCCATGGCCCCACCACGCCGCTCCATGTGTGACTCTGGATTAGACATGAATCTCAGATACCTCCGGGGACCTGAACCTCTTTTAGGAACGATCTGCCTCCCGCTAACCCCCCCCCCCCTTTGTTTTCTTTTCTGCATTACAGATCTGGTTCTACACCAGCAGTATCTTCGAAACGGCGGGAATCGCTCCTGAGAAGATCCTCTACATAACCTTAAGCACAGGGGGCATTGAGACGGTGGCTGCCATCTTTTCTGTAAGTACCTGTGGGTTCCCTCTGAAAACACTTGCAAACTGTCATGTCAGTCTGCTGTCCAGGGATCCTGATGGAGAGCAGACGTGCCTGCAGAGACACTGCATTCACACACCAGAAAGTCTAACCTTGAGATCTCATCACACTAGGATCAATAAGCAACATCACAATAAACGGAAAATACAGACATTGCCAAGGATTTCATTCCAAGGATCCATTTTACTTGAATCCATAATCAGTAGTCATGAAAGCAACAGTCAGGAGATCAAAACAGATCTTGCACTGGGCAAATCTGCTACAAAGAACCCTTTACTAAAGTGTTAGAGTGTGCCTGTGAGGACCCAATTGTATGTGAAAGCTTGACAATGGATAAAAGATAAAGAGTTGATGCCTTTGAATATGTCCTGGATGCCAGAAAAGCAAACAAATTTGTTTTGGTAGAAGTGCAGTCAAAATGATCCTTTGATGAAAAGATTTCCTCTAACAAACGTTAGACATGTCAGGAGAGGCCAGTCCCTGGAGAAGGACATGTGTTTGGTAAAGCAGAGGCGTCAACAGAAAAGAAGACTCTCAACAGGACAGTGACTACAGCTATGTGCTCAAACATGGCAGTGGTTGTCAGGTTGACTTGAGAGTGGACAGAGTTCTGTTATACATGGAGTCCTTTGCTGTGAATCAGAACCAACTCCATGGCCCCTAATAGCAGCCAACTCCTTTGCTTAAAGTCAACTGCTTGGTCGTGTTAGCACATCTGCAAATATCTTTACAACAACAGTTTAGTATTGGGTTGGATAACACGATCCCATTGCCTACCCAAAGGAGCCCTGGTAATATAGCATCAAACTAGTAATATGTTGGACTGCTAACTGAAAGATCAGTGGTTCAAATCCACCAGCTCCCTCTTAAGATGCAGAACTAAGAAATCTCCTCTTGTAAAGATTTGTTACAGCCTCAGAAACCCCATGGAGAGCTGCCATGAGTTAGAATCAACTCAGTGCAACTGGGTTTGGGTTGGGTTCACAGCCAACCCAGGCTGACAGGTAAAATAAAAACCATTACACCTCACAAATGCAACTTAAATAACGTGAGTAAGGTAAGGGTCTTGGGATGGCCACATTCTGTGGGTGGCACTCCATCGACACAAGGGTCTTTAGGAGTTACAAAAGGATCAGAGTCAAAAGAGTTTGATGACAAAGTCAGTGGTTGTGATGATGCCATCACTGGCTTGGAAGACAGGTGGAGAGTCCACAAGCCAAGGAATGAAAGCTAAGAAAAGAAAAGAGAATGACTTCACCCTGGAGCCTCCCAAGGGCAGGCATTGATTTCACCCCCATGAGATGCATTTTGGGTGTCTGACCCCTAGGGCTGTGAACTAATAAGTGTGTGTTCTTTAAGCCATCAAGCCTGTGGGAATTGTCACATTAGCAACAAGAAACCAAGGCACCAACTTGCAAAACTGTCATGGAAACAAAGCTCCACGTGTTGACAGAGGCAATAATCAATAGAAAACTTTTCTCTTCCCAAAGTTTTCACTACTTTGTCTTCAGAAAAAAAGTATGCTCACACACATATATAATTTGTTGTTGTTTTGATGTGTTGTCAACTCAGAACTGACTCATAGACGACCCTCCAGCAGGTTTTCAGAAGCAGTAAATCACACAGGAGGAGATTGCCCATCTTTCTCCCAGGTGCAGCTCACGGATTCAAAATGTGTAGCTTTGGGTTGGCAGCACAACTCCTCATCACTAGGCCACCAGAGATAGATGATAGATAGAGAGATAGATAGATAGATAATAGAGAGATAGATAGATAGATAGATAGATAGATAGATAGATAGATAGATAGATAGATAAAACATAGATATAGATAGATACATAGTGATAGCTAGCTAGTTACCTAGCTAGCTAGATAAAGAGGGATATACCTAAAGCTATAGCTATATCTATCTCTAACTGTGTCTGTGTCTGTATCTGTATCTATATCACCTCTCTTTCTATCTATCTATCTATCTATTTGTTGTTGTTGTTATGTGCATCAAGTCACTTGAGACACAACAAAAAGTTTATATATATGGAGAGAGAGAGGAAGGAGAGAGATGAAATCTCTTGAGTTAATTGCCTATCAAAAAGGACTTCCAGTTTTTTCATTATTTTTTATGAGATTTTGACAAACCATTAAAATACCCCTGGGGTCTAATAAAATTTAAAAAGGAAAGAAGTTTTTGTTCATTCTATCTGCAAGTAATTTGACTTCAGGCATCAATCATCAGCTTGGTTGCCTGGGAATAATTGCATCTTGCAGAAACAGTTTTCCAAATTGACTTTATGGATGCCGCACTAACATTCTGATGAGTGAATGTCCAAGGGTTGTCATTCGGGTGAGGCCGAGCACCTTTCCAATCGGAAGGGCAGGCTCCATGCTCTTCCTAATCCAGGCAAACGGGACTCACAGTCAATCATGACTCTTCGCAGTCGGATTTTACAGCTCTGCAGAATGCACAATGTCATTGGGGCTGTTGTTGGTGCTGCTACAGCAGACACCTCACAGTCGGTGGCTTCAGAAATAGAAGTTTATTTTCTCAGAGTTCAGAAGGCTAAGAGTCTGAGTTCAGGGGAAGCTCCATGGGAAGGCTTTCTCCTTGTTGACTCTGGGAGAAAAAGATTCTTGTCAACTTTCAGTATCTGTGTGTTTGGTTGTTATTGTTACTGAGTGCCATTGAGTCAGAACAGACTCATAACTGACCTTCTAGTGATTTTCAGAGGTAATTAATTGTACAGGAGGAAACTGCCGATCCTTCTCCTTCAGAGAAGCTGGTGGATTTGAACTGTGTGCCTTCAGGACTGCAGCACAACTTCTTACCATCAGGCCACAAGAACTTTCCTTAGTCTCTTGTGCCTTGGAATCATTCCCAGGGCCTATGTGATTCCCAGCACAGAGGCTCTGATTTCAAAGGCTTTTCTTTGCTCCCAACTCTTCTTAATTGGTGGTAATAGGCCCCAAGCTGTCATCTCACTTCTCTGCCCTCTTGTTGTTGAGTATCACAGAGGCAGACCAACCCATAGCTAACCCTTGTGCAGATTTTCAAAGGCAGTTAACCACACAGGAGGAGACTGCACATCCTTCTGCCACAGAGCAACTGGTGAATTCGAACCATGTGCCTTTGGGATTGCAGCACAGTTTCTTGCCACTAGGTCATCACTTTTGTTATCACATGTAAGATCAAGGCATTGCATCTCAGGGATAAGATAAACTTTCCAGGAGGCAGGTCTGGGGAAGGGGCGTCCAGTGCCATGTCTGGCCATGAAGGTGGTAAGAAGAAGCCCCTGAAACAGCCCAAGAAGCAGACCAAGAAGACGGATCTGGATTCTCTGCTGTAAAATCTGGACTCTCTGCTGTAACATTTGTTACCACCTGTAGTTAAAATGAAGTGTTGTCTTGGAGCCTATTGTACATTTAAGAAGAAACTTTGTCAAACACTGAAGAAGAAGAAACCCTCTGATGGTCCATCTCCAGTTCTCGCTCAGCCATTCCAATCTCAGCTGTGCTCTCAAAGTAAATGCAATCCGGAATCCTGTCAGCATCTCCTCTTCAGTCTTCATTATGCCCAGAATTCTGTACCACCTGGAATTAAACCAATTCATTTGAAAAAAAAATAAGATTAAATTTCCACTTCAGAGAAACTTCATCTATTATATCTTGGCTGTGACCTGATTAAGGGTGGCATATTACCTGAATCCCTCGATCGTAACATATCACACCATGAGAAATTATTATATCATGTGTAACTGCCAAATTATAACATTTTATAACATTCAAACCACTGGGAACCATGGCTCTGCCACGTTGACACATCTTTTGAGGTCACAATTTAATCCATGATAATGGAGGGGAAAGGCCCTTGATTGGTGTCCGTTGCAGCCCGGAGAGTAGAAGCAGGGACACTGGTGTGGTGGTGGAGGTGGTCAGTGGTCATCAGGTCAGCTGTAACTCATGGCCATTCTGTGGACAGGAGAAGGAAGCACAACAGACCTGCCCCGTCTTCATGACGGTTGGCTCGCTTTACACCACTGTGTGGACACTGTGTGATGAGTATCTTCCCCAACAGGTGCATTTTCCACACTCTATTGGGAAATATTCTATTATGATCCGTGAGGTCTTCACTGGATGAACTTTGGGGGGAAACGTCACCAGCCTCTCTCCTCATCTATCCTAGTGTGGAAACCCTACTGAAACCTGTGCACCATTGTTGACCCTGTTGGTGTTTGAAAAGTGGTACAGCTTCCACTATCATAGGAACATGCAAGTCCCTGTGGTATAACAAATGGACAGACGAGACGTGGCAGTTTGGAAAGATGTTGCTTTCCTGAACGACTCATCAGACTGAAATGAGTTTCAAACCTGGAACTAGGAAGACTTATTCATATCATTCTTTCCTTGATATGTTACAATTCTGCAGGGTCTTCTGGATTCCAGACCTGAAGGCAAGACCAACCTTAGCCCCACTAAAATATTCAATTATGTCCCCAGTATATTTGACAAAGTGTACAGGAACCTAGAAGGGACAGACAAGGTTAGACACAAGTAGAACCAATGTCCTGCTTTACCTTGGAGGCATGAGAAGCCGCCCCGAGCTCCATCCTACCTGGGTCATCCACCAGGTTCAGTAACAAAGACCTGCAGACAAATAACACTTCACCATCAGTGCTTCAGTTACCATCCAAGATTCACTTACAGACTCTGTTCCCTTAGGAGGAAAAAGGCACGTCAGAAGGACCCAGTCCCTGGAAAAGGACATCATTCTTGGTAAAATTCAGGGTCTGAAAAAGAGGGAGCTGCTCATTGAGATCAATTGACAGTGTAACTGCAGCAATGGGCTTAACACAGGCTGAGAGGGTGGTGCACGACAGGGAAGAGTTCTTTCTTTCTTTGTTTTTCTTATAATTTTTTATTAATGTACACAGCAAAACATATGACTTCAGTAGCTTCTATGCGTGTCATTTTAC